GAAAAAAAATAATTAATAAAAAAAAAGGAAAAGCATTGATTGATACAATTTCCAAAGTCATGTTTAACTTTTCTTTGTCTACATCTTCTTCTTCTCCTTTGTCTACTTCTTCATCATCATCATCATTATCAACAACATCATCATCATCTTCTCCTTCTTTTTCATCTTCTTCTTGTCTTCTTCTTCTTCTTGTCTTCTTCTTCTTATTGTCTTCTTCTTCTTCTTTCTTCTTCTTCTTCTTTTTCTTCTTCTTCTTCTTCTTCTTCTTCTTCTTCTTCTTCTTCTTCTTCTTCTTCTTCTTCTTTCTTCTTCTTCTTCTTCTTCTTGTCTTCTTCTTCTTGTCTTCTTCTTCTTATTGTCTTCTTCTTCTTCTTTCTTCTTTTTCTTCTTCATCTTCTTCTTCTTCTTCTTCTTCTTCTTCTTCTTCTTCTTCTTCTTTAGCATTCTGAGTCCTTGGGGTTCAGTACTGCAGATATCACAGGTCTTTATTTATCTCTGTGATGACTTTCTCTCTAAAATTTGTTATGACAAAATCAAACCAAGTGAAAAATAGAATCAGCTGGCTTTGTAATATCCTTCCAATATGCTCGCTGTCAACCATACTCTGACCGAAAGACTTGAAAATGTGCAAGATTCCCAATGTGCTTGACAATATTTCCGGTAATTTACATCTAGTAGTTTGCCATTGCTTTCTGGCTCCCTGATACCACTGTCAAAACCAACTTCACTGTCATGTGACATTTACTCAATATGCCCCAACCATTTTCATCTATTGGCTCTCATGATGCCAATGATGTAATAAATCATGAATTTCAAATATAATGTATCAAATACACAAGATGACAAATTATGACAAAAGAATATCATGTCTATTAAGACAATGAAAAAGAACTGTCCTTACTGTTTGTATTTACAACTTTTTAGGGCGTTAAAGGACAGAGAAATGATGCTAAAGGTTGCAAATTGTAGAACGGCAAGACACTTGATGATGATGATGGTAGGACACCGTGATTGCATACCTGAAGATTTAAGATCAGATGACTCCCGCAGTTGCCTTGAACTACGCAGGTTAGGATTGTTATTTTATATATCATGTCTATATTTTAGGATTCACCGTGGCATTGGTGGCTAGATGCCCACCTGCGGATCGGAAGGTCGTGGGTTCGCATCCTGACAGAGCCAAGACTTTTTTTTTCAAAAATGACCTTGACTCCCAGGTCGACCCAGCCTTGAGTGGGTACCAGGTACAGTCCTGGGAAGTAACGATGGCTGGTATGATGCTGGTCATCTCACCCATTAAGTGCCAATTGGTCTATAGAAACATAAGTCTAGCCCTATATTCCCAATATATAGCCCTATATTCCCAATATATAGCCCTATATTCCCAATATATAGCCCTATATTCCCAATATATAGCCCTATATTCCCAATATATAGCCCTATATTCCCAATATATAGCCCTATATTCCCAATATATAGCCCTATATTCCCAATACACCCAAAGGCGTGGAAAAGGGACCTTTACTTTACTATATCTATTTTTCACTGAATTTATTGTGGACGCACCCTGAGAAGAAATGAGCACAGAATCCCCAAACTGGCACCATAATGGGAAATAATTGGAATGAGAAAGCGAGGACGTCCACAAGAAGGCCTAAAGCAAACACTGATGAGACCTGCCAAAAGTGTTGGACTGATTCCATCAGTGGTTTCAAAGAAGTTGCCCTGGATAGACCTTAATGGAGGAATAGACTGGGAGCCTTTAGTGACATGTAATGACACAACAGGATGATGGTGATGAATGATGATACTTTAATATAATGAGTCTTGAATGTGACAACATACAACTACGATATTACAGTACAATGAGTCTAGAATTTGACAACATACAACTACAATTCTACAGTATAATGAGTCTGGAATGTGACAACATACAGCTACGATATTAAAGTACAATGAGTCTAGAATTTGACAACATACAACTACAATTCTACAGTATAATGAGTCTGGAATGTGACAACATACAACTACAATACTACAGTATAATGAGTCTGGAATGTGACCGCTTACAACTAAAATGCTATAGTTTAATGAATCTAGAATTTGACAACATACAACTACAATACTACAGTATAATGAGTCTAGAATGTGACAGCATACAACTACAATACTACAGTATAATGAGTCTGGAATGTGACAACATACAACTACAATTCTACAGTATAATGAGTCTAGAATGTGACCACTTACAACTAAAATGCTACAGTTTAATTAATCTAGAATTTGACAACATACAACTACAATACTACAGTATAATGAGTCTTGAATGTGACAGCATACAACTACAATACTACAGTATAATGAGTCTGGAATGTGACAACATACAACTACAATACTACAGTATAATGAGTCTAGAATGTGACCGCTTACAACTAAAATGCTACAGTATAATGAGTCTTGAATGTGACCGCCTACAACTAAAATGCCACAGTATAATGAGTCTAGAATGTGACAGCTAACAACTACAATACTAATGAGTCTTGAATGTGACAGCTTATAAGTACAATACAAAAGTAAAATGATTCTAGAATGTGACAGCATACAACTACAATACTAATGAGTCATGAATGTAACAGCTTACAATTAACATACTACAGTATAATGAGTCTAGAATGTGACAGCTTTTAACTAACATACTACAGTATAATGAGTCTAGAATGTGACAGCTGACAACTAACATACTACAGTATAATGAGTCTTGAATGTGACAGCCTTACAACTACCATACTACAGTGAAATGAGCCTAGAATGTGACAGCTTACATCTACCATACTACAGTAAAATGAGTCTAGAATGTGACAGCTTACATCTACCATACTACAGTAAAATGAGTCTAGAATGTGACAGCTTACATCTACCATACTACAGTAAAATGAGTCTAGTATGTGACAGCTTACATCTACCATACTACAGTGAAATTAGTCTAGAATGTGACAGCCTTACAACTACCATACTACAGTAAAATGAGTCTAAAATGTGACAGCTTACATCTACCATACTAGAGAAAAATGAGTCTAGAATGTGACAGCCATACATCTAACATACTACAGTAAAATTAGTCTAGAATGTGACAGCCTTACATCCACCATACTACAGTAAAATTAGTCTAGAATGTGACAGCTTACATCTACCATACTACAGTAAAATGAGTCTAGAATGTGGCAGCCTTATAACTACCATACTACAGTAAAATGAGTCTAGAATGTGACAGCTTACATCTACCATACTACAGTGAAATGAGTCTAGAATGTGACAGCTTACAACTACCATACTACAGTAAAATGGGTCTAGGATGTGATGGCTTACAACTACCATACTTCAGTACAATGAGTGTAGATTGTGACAGCATATTACAACATAAAACCAGAATGACACACATCATCATCATCTTGTGGTGCAGTTGTGTGTCACACAGGGCTCACAGTCTTTTTCTACATTCCATCCTTTCAAGTGCAATCCTTCTGATATCGTGAACGGATTTCAGTCAAGAACGTTTGTCCTCTCTCATCATCATTTGTTAGGATTTGAAAACCAACTCATCATGCCATACCACAGTCTATTCTCCCATTCTATGCTTTCATGTGCAGTCCTTCTGATATCATGGATGGAATTCAGTCAAGCACCTTTGGCCCCTCTCATTATCTGTTTTTGAATTCAAAGGAGAAAACCCGCTCAAAATGTCCTACCATGAGTCCGGAATTTTATATCATATTCAAAATCCAGAGTTTAAACTGGTATTTCATTAATCTAGAATATGACATTTGAGTTCAGAATCTTTTATAATATAATTTGGTAGCGTATTTTAAAATCAGATATTGATATCATGTGAATATAATTTGATGCCTTTCAGAATAGGACATTGCGCATCAAATAGCTAATATGTGATTTTGCAAATGATTGAATGTGAATTTTGAAAGGTTGAATTTCATTTGCAAAAGGATTAGCTTGGCTTGCTAATCCTTTATAATTTTTTTGTAACTTTCTGTGTATATCTTTCTTTATTTCTTTGTCTTGTCTTTCTGATGCTTTCTGTATATATATATATATATATATTTATATTTCTATCTCAGTCTATCTCTCTGTATACCTTTCTGAGTCAACCTGTCTCTCTGTCTGTCTCTGCATATCTTTCTGTCTCTTTCTCTCTCTCTCTTGCTCTGTGTGTTCTCAATTTCTGTGTATATTATCAGGTGAGCATTGTAAAAGTGCAGTAGGATCAAGTGAAAAGAGCAGAAGAACATACACAGCATCCAAACCTGGTGAGTATTAATTCAATGTATTGCAATATGTCTCTCTGTTGATCTCTCTGTTTCTCTTTCAAACCATCTCCCTGTCTGGCTCTCTTTATCTTTGAGTTTCCATTTGTTAATATTGTGAAATCTCCATATTCAATGTTTTAGGTTTAACTTTTTAATTATTTAATAGTTTTTTTTTTTTAATTATGTAAGTTCAGTGTTGTCAAATGTGATTGTTCTGTACGGTCAAATGTGTTTAATATTGTCAAAACTTTATATTTAATATTGTCAAGTCCAAATGTTTAGTATTGTGAAACGTGTATGTTTAGTATTTTCAAATGTGTATGTTTAGTACTGCCAAATGTGCATGTTAAGTCCTGTCAGATGTGTATCTTTTAAGTGTCAATTTTAGTTTTGGCAGAAGTGAATGTTTAGTATTGCCACCGTGTCAATTAGTACCGGCAGAAGTGTATATTTGATATTGTCGCAGTGTCAAGTTTAGTTTTGGCAGAAGTGTATGTTTAGTATTGCCACCGTGTCAAGTTTAGTACTGGCAGAAGTGAATGTTTAGTATTGCCACCGTGTCAAGTTTAGTACTGGCAGAAGTGAATGTTTAGTATTGCCACCGTGTCAAGTTTAGTACTGGCAGAAGTAAATGTTTAGTATTGCCACCGTGTCAAGTTTAGTATTGTCAGAAGTGTATGGTCAGTGTTTTATAATTTGAATGTGAGGCCAATAAATGGGGTCTTCCTCTGGTTTCAGAAAGAAATGAGTGGGAAATACAAAATTCAAAAGCCAATATCTGCCAAATATGGCTCTGATTTTCTGGTTTAATCTTCTGGTATCCCTTATTTCTAGTGAACGTTTCAAGCACAACTTTTCAAATGTAGTTAACCCCTGAGAGATATTTCTAAACTCAGAAAAAAGATAACCTGTGGTGATAAAAATAAACATGATAAGAAATGTTACTGTTATCATTAATAAAAGCGTGTGGAAAGATAAGTATCCGAATATCCATCTTATAACTGCCACAGGAAAGAAAATGTCAGAGTATGACATTTGCGACCAGAGTTCCAGTGATATGTATGTAATAACATGAAGTGTAGCATAAACACAGCCAATCAATGCCCAGAACAGAAACACAATAAAGAAACGATGGTTGCGGTAGCCGATGCACGAACCAGCAAAAAAACAATGATGGTTTCGTTTAAGAATACATGTTTTACATAATGGGCAGTGATGACATCTAGGTGGCCGAGTGCGTCGGCATGCATAGCATGGAACCCAAGACCAGTAAGGATAAGACTCTGTTACAGTTTTACCAATTCTTTTTATGACCGGTTTGGGTGTCATTAAATTTATGATGTCTAAGTGTGTCTCTGGTCTATTTTTCTTTTCTTGCTGTAACAACAAATTAACTTTACTGTTCTCTGAAACAGAGATAAGGTCAGCAATAGATCGACTGTTAACCTGTTCATTCTGTTCAATCATCCACTGGTTAACACTTTCCGCTTCTTTTTCCAGATACATTTTTTCATTAGCAAAATTCTGTTCAGCAGATGGAAAGTTGGCATCTGTTTCTATTCCACAGTTTTTCTTGTAAGATAAGTGTTCACTTGGCTGTGTCTGAAAAAAATAAACACAATTTATAAGAGGAGTTAAAGTAACAACTACCAAAGGCTAGAAGAGTTAACCCTGTTGCCAAAGATGACTACATCTAGACACTCCTAGCTGTGTTGCTGTCCCCTAAATGCTGATAAATTGATCTATCTGCCAGTGACTTATTCTAGAAAAGCGTAGTTAAATTCCTAATTCCATTGGTTTTTTTTATGCACCTGCACAGTGTTTCATAGGCCAGGATATGAATGTAGTAACTAAAAATAGCATTCCACACCCCCCCCCCTCCCCCCAGAGGCCTTTTTAAAGCCAAGTTGATGTCAAATTTCCCCCTAAGCCTAAGTGATAGAGGTCATGGGGTCATGGCATGAGATACCTGAGTCATACTGTCCTTTAGACAGTGGGGAAGAATTCCATTAAATGCATCAATCTGTTTGTGTTAACTGATTACTACTTTGAAATAAATTGTCCCAAAAAACATAAAAAAATAATTTTAAAAGCAAAGTTATTAGGTAAAGTAAGTAAAGGACCCTTTTCCACACCTTTCAGGCGTATTGGGCATATAGGGCTAGACCTATATTTTAAAGACCAAACGGCACTTGGTGGGTAATGTGGTCAGCATCACGCTGTCGGCCTTTACTTCCCAGGACTTGCCTGGTACCCACTCAAGGCTGGGTCAACCTGAGAACCAAAGTCATTTGTGGAAAAAAATCGGCCCTCGTCAGGAACTGAACCCAGAACCTTCCGATCCACAGCTGAGCGTCTAGCCACTAGACCACAGCGACACCTATAGTTATTAGGGATCTGTGTAAATTTGTATTTTTGAAGGATTTTATCAAGGGATTTCGACGGGTTCATGACCTTTTTCTTGTTAGCATTTGCAAGGGATTTCGGTTAAAGTCCCATATAAGATTCTTATCACCAATAATCCTAATAAATGGTGGCAGTTTGCATGTTGTTACACAGATCTTGGTCCACCATGTTTAGGATCATTCTTACTGATTATATTTCTACATCCACCATCTTGGATTTTCATGTAGCAGGTCATTTACCAAATCTGTCAGACCCCTGCCTCATGCTAAACATATGTATGTTTAGTACTGTTAAATGTGTATGTTTAGTACTGTTAAATGTGTATGTTTAGTACTGCCAATGTGTATGTTTAGTACTGTTGAATGTGTATGTTTAGTACTGCCAATGTGTATGTTTAGTACTGTTGAATGTGTATGTTTAGTACTGCCAATGTGTATGTTTAGTACTGTTAAATGTGTATGTTTAGTACTGCCAATGTGTATGTTTAGTACTGCCAATGTGTATGTTTAGCACTGTCAAATGTGTATGTTTAGTACTGTCTAATGTGTATGTTTAGTACTGTCAAAAGTGCATATTTAGTATTGTCAATTTGTGTGTTTAGCATTGTCAAATGAATATGTTTAGTGCTGCCACATTTGTATGTTCAGTAATGTCAGATGAATATGTTTAGTATTATTAAATGCAATCACATATGTTTGCTTGTAAAAATGAGAAAGATAAGAAAAAAAGAAGTAGAATTTACAAAAGGCTGTTTACCTGTTGTTTAAGTAGAATGTACAAAAAGCTGTTTACCTGTTGTTTAAGTAGAATGTACAAAAGGCTGTTTACCTGTTGTTTCAAATGGAGTGATGATGATGGCTGTTTGTGAAGATAGGGGTTTCCGTACAAACTGATATATTTCTGGTATGAAGAATCCACATATCGAATGCCCAGCCAGTTGATCATGATTTCCATGAACAAGAAACAACACAGGCACCGCTGCAAGAACACGGCTCCATCCTGTCCTGCATACAACAGAGGTATGATGTCGAACAGTGTCAGCTTAAGACTGGAAAACACTGTCAGCAGGAACAGTGGCAGGGCTATCCTGTGGAGCAGAAGTAACAGTTACAGTGGGAAATCTATAATGTGGACAGAGTACAAAGGGACAGTAGGGGAGCTATCCTGAGGAGCAGAGGTAAAAGTTACAGTGGCAGGGCTATCATGTGGAGCAGATGTAACAGTTACAGTGGCAGGGCTATCCTGTGGAAGAGATGTAACAGTTACAGTGGGAAATCTATTATGTGGATCAAGAAAAAAGGGACACTGGGTGAGCTATCATGGGGGGCAGAGGTAAAATTTACAGTGGGAAATCTGTTATGTGGACAGAGAAAAAAGGGACAGTGTTCGAGCTATCCTGTGGAGCAGAAGTAAAAGTGACAGTGGGAAATGTATTATGTTGACTGAGAAAAAGGGACAATGGGCTAGCTATCCAGAGAAAAGAGAGATAGCAAGTAGAGAAGGAAAGCAATCTCGTGGACAGATATAGAGGTACAGTGGGTGTGCTATCATCATCATCATCATCATCATCATCAGGTGTCTTGCCGACTGGCGTGAGGGATCATGCCTCTCCATAATCTGCGATCTCCTGCAGCATATATCAGTTCGGGTGCCGACACACCTCCATGCCATGCAACAAGACTGTCAAGCATCTTCTCTCATTGTCTTCCTCTATCCCTTTTCCACAGATCTTTCCAGTGGTCACAACATGTTCTATTTTCCTTCTTCTCATAACATGGCCAAAAAATGATGACTGTCTCCTTCTGATGTCTGTGATAAGTTGACTTCGGGCTCCCGCCTCTTTCAAAACCTCTTGGTTGCTCTTTTTGGCTGTCCAAGGTATTCTAAGCACTCTTCTGTAAAACCACATCTCTGAGGCCTCTAAAAATTGATTGTCCAGGATTCACATCCATATGTTAAAACTGGATGTATGTAGCAAGCAAGAATTCTTTTTCTAACTCTCAATGACAAGGATATATTGCACAAGATGTTTTTCATTTTATAAAATGCAGTTTTTACCTGTCCAATTCTGTTTCTTATTTCAGTTATGCATGATGTTATCCATGTGCTCAGATACTTAAATTTCTGTACTTGTCCTATCCTAAAATAACACCATTGACTTTTATTACACATTTAGGAATAATTTGTTTCTTTGATATAACCATTACTTCTGTCTTCCCATTATTCAAACTGAGGCCCATTCTTCCACTTTCTAACAATGTCTATCATTTCCTGTAATTCTTTCTGACTTGTTGCTATCAAGACTGTGTCATCAGCATAACGTAAATTGTTTATATTGTGCCCACCAACCACAATTCCGGGCATATCAATTAAAGATCTCATTATATATTCACTGTATATTGAAAACAAATCAGGTGACAGAACACATACTTGTCGTACGCCCCTCTTTATGCTTTGAAATGTACCTAAACAGTTGTTTATTCTTATAGCTGCTGTTTGTTGCCAATATATATTCTTTATTATTCGTAGATCTTTCACATCGATGTTTAATTTTTCTAACAGTTTGATTACTTCTTCATGCTTCACACAGTCAAATGATTTTGTATAGTCTATGAAGCATAAGTACAAATCAGTCTTTACTTCTATAGCTCTTTCTGACAATGTCCTTAGGATGTAAATGGCATTGTTTGTACCTTTTCTTTCTACAAATCCACATTGTTCATCGCTGATTTCTGGTTTTATTTTGTTTCTTATTCTTCTCATAATTATTCTCAGTAAAATCTTAGTCATGTGACTCATAAGACTTATTGTGCGATGGTCTTCACATTTTAAAGTGCCTGGTTTCTTTGGCAGAGCTATACATATGGATTTTAAAAGGTCATTTGGAATATACCCACTATTATAAATATCATTTAAAAGTTTAGTTATTATTTCAATTCCAAAATCTCCCAGTGCTTCGATTTCTTCCAGTGAGCTGTTGTCTGGCCCGGGTGCTTTTCCTTTCTTCATATGATGTATTGCATCCTCAATATGTGTGCTATTATGTGGGGTGAAAGAGAGACAGACATACAGTGAGACAGATATCCTGAGGAGAGAGAGGTATGAGGTAGAGAAGGAAATCTGTCCTATGGAGAGAGATTATAGGTACAATGGGAATGCTATCATGTGGAGGAGAGAGGTATGAGGTAGAGAAGGAAATGTGTCCTATGGAGAGAGATTATAGGTACAATGGGAATGCTATCATGTGGAGGAGAGAGGTATGAGGTAGAGAAGGAAATCTGTCCTATGGAGAGAGATTATAGGTACAATGGGAATGCTATCATGTGGAGGAGAGAGGTATGAGGTAGAGAAGGAAATCTGTCCTATGGTGAGAGATTATAGGTACAATGGGAATGCTATCATGTGGAGGAGAGAGGTATGAGGTAGAGAAGGAAATCTGTCCTATGGTGAGAGATTATAGGTACAATGGGAATGCTATCATGTGGAGGAGAGAGAGGTATGAGGTAGAGAAGGAAATCTGTCCTATGGAGAGAGATTATAGGTACAATGGGAATGCTATCATGTGGAGGAGAGAGGTATGAGGTAGAGAAGGAAATCTGTCCTATGGAGAGAGATTATAGGTACAATGGGAATGCTATCATGTGGAGGAGAGAGGTATGAGGTAGAGAAGGAAATCTGTCCTATGGTGAGAGATTATAGGTACAATGGGAATGCTATCATGTGGAGGAGAGAGGTATGAGGTAGAGAAGGAAATCTGTCCTATGGTGAGAGATTATAGGTACAATGGGAATGCTATCATGTGGAGGAGAGAGGTATGAGGTAGAGAAGGAAATCTGTCCTATGGAGAGAGATTATAGGTACAATGGGAATGCTATCATGTGGAGGAGAGAGGTATGAGGTAGAGAAGGAAATCTGTCCTATGGAGAGAGATTATAGGTACAATGGGAATGCTATCATGTGGAGGAGAAAGGTATGAGGTAGAGAAGGAAATCTGTCCTATGGAGAGAGATTATAGGTACAATGGGAATGCTATCATGTGGAGGAGAGAGGTATGAGGTAGAGAAGGAAATCTGTCCTATGGAGAGAGATTATAGGTACAGTGGGAATGCTATCATGTGGAGGAGAGAGGTATGAGGTAGAGAAGGAAATCTGTCCTATGGTGAGAGATTATAGGTACAGTGGGAATGCTATCATGTGGAGGAGAGAGGTATGAGGTAGAGAACGAAATCTGTCCTATGGTGAGAGATTATAGGTACAGTGGGAATGCTATCATGTGGAGGAGAGAGGTATGAGGTAGAGAAGGAAATCTGTCCTATGGAGAGAGATTATAGGTACAATGGGAATGCTATCATGTGGAGGAGAGAGGTATGAGGTAGAGAAGGAAATCTGTCCTATGGAGAGAGATTATAGGTACAATGGGAATGCTATCATGTGGAGGAGAGAGGTATGAGGTAGAGAAGGAAATCTGTCCTATGGAGAGAGATTATAGGTACAATGGGAATGCTATCATGTGGAGGAGACAGTAAGAGGGACAGTGAGTAAGCTATCCTCTGGAGAAAGACAGAGGTAGTCTGGGAAAACTATCCTGTAAAGAGAGAGAGAGAGGAAGGGTGGAGGGGGAAATATGGGAAAACTATCCATTTGAAATAGTAGAAATATAGTCACAATAAAGATATAAGGAGCTAATTCAATAAATGTCTGTGACAACATAACGAATTTTCAGAAGCCATTCTTTGGGCCTACCAGTAAATGTACAATGAATCTCTTGGTATGGAAATAGATAGGATTAGGTATGCAAATAGCAAGGATATTTTGTAGAAAACAAAGCTGCAAATGCTCATCAAAAAATAGTAAAAAAATAGGTCTCAGTACTGACTATAGTGCGTCTATTACAGTTCTGCCTTACCTGCCAAACAACTCTGGGGGTAGAGGATTTGGTGGCACCTCAACTTTAGAGCTGCCAAACCTCCTTTTGTAGTGGGCCTGTAATTTATGGCTCAGGCTTTCTAACTGTGGTTGACGGAAAGGTGGTTTGTCATCTCGGTCCATTTCTAGACTCTCCGGGCTTGTGTCGGTAAAAAATAAGTTTGAATCTTCCATTCTAGAAAACTGTAAATGACACATTATACAGAAGGTCAGTATAAAACATTTTAAGTCAGAAAGATGATGAAAGAGTGGCTTTTGTTCTTCTTTCTTTTGTCATTACACTGATGCTGGGTTGTAGCACAGTGTCCCTGGCTTTCTGTATTTGTTTTGCGCATCTCAGATGGCCTGAGTTCCCTGTGTGGGTTTCGGAGCCCCATTTTGGGTGACAGAAGAATAGACCCACTGCCTTTTTACAAGTATATCATACAAGGCAAATAATTAGGGATGTTTGCTTCGAAGTCGAAGTGCATTTGCCTGATAGGCTATGAACCAAAAGTCTGCACACAAATAAGCCAGATCTGTGAAATGGGTGCGCATGCAAAACTCAAGTTCTGGAACAAAATGAAAGTCCAGAAGCAGAAAAACACCTAGAACTTTCCGCTGAAATTTACTGCTGATGAATTCTAAGAAGAAGATGAAGATGACTTGAATGATGGTTTAGTTAATCTTTTTGCATGAAGAGTGATTAGGAAAGGATAAGCTGATGTAGAAATTTGGATGAAGGAAAAAAAGATTAAGAAGAAATGACTGACGAAAGTTCCATGGCAGTAAGCAAAGTGAAAGCAGCAAGTTGATACCCTGTTAAAGATCTTTGGTGAATTGAGGTATGACAAGCTAGATGTTGTCAGGGCCCTTTAGGAGCGAGTGAATAGTGCGGTCGCACAAATAGATAGTACAGTCTGGGGAGAATAGAGCTGCAGGGAGTTACCACAGGATGTGGCTGACTCTCAAAGCTCAAGGAAAGGGCAAGATGAATATACAATAAGATAGTTAATCGTACCATCCAAATAGGAACTCTTCGCTAGCTGCTGAATATGGGGGCTGAGCACTTATGGGGATGTCCCGAGTACTGTGATGCGGATTCCTAATTCAACAAAGAACATTGAAGGCTCTTTGGGTATACCGACTGCTGACTGCTTTGTCTTTCAAAAACTAGGACATCATCATCATGTAGCAAATAATTTGCAGACCGTCGCTCTTATCACGATCTGAATGAAAGAAACCCCTGGTCTCTCACCAGCCTCGTCCACCTGGTGCATTTCCCTATCCAGGCCACTTATATCCTGTGCCCATCTTCATGCTGGTCGGCCCCTGCCCCTTTCCTGGTACCATGACTTCTGCTACTCATATTTTTCAGTGCCATAGCACTTGATATGGCCAATATATTTCAGGTTCTGAGACAATGATTTGGATCACACACAAAAAACATATATATACCCACTTGTCCTAACAAAGCATGTTGTAAGAGGTGGCTATTCAGAGATTTACTTAAATTTGATGGGTTGGGTCAAAGGCACAGATATCACAGTCTAGCTGTAAATCACTGTAATGGTTAAGTGCAGAAGAAGAAGAAAAACAGGCAGAGTTATACATTAAGACTGGCATTTTTTAACCCCTTCCCTTTACCAAACCACCACTCTTCATGGCTACGGGTGGGAATATAATGCCAATGAGACATCCACATCTCACGGAGTAAAAAACTACCTAACTAATATCTGACAGTTGGTCAATGATCACAGTCTATTAGCATCCTTATAATAAGCTTCAAAGCAGACCTGAGGCTCCAGAACCCATCAGTGATTTATAAGCTTTTGGGTGGGGAAATAGAAGTAGCAGTAATTTTCACAAAACATCCTGTTGAACCCTCAGGTTTATAGCTGGATATAAAGTGTTAATTAAATTTTCAGAGTATGTTTTTGCTGTTTGTTTGTATCATATAATCATTTCTTAATGACATTTTACTGATTGGGATAGTAATAAAACAAGTTAATGCAATGATTATATGAAAGGAAATTCGGCTTTCCTTTAAATAACGGTCGCTAGCTGGAAAGCGGACGGTCGCTTAGTGGGAGTTCACTCCCTTGGCTGCATTGCAAATACGGAGTGGAAAAGTCACGAATCAAAAACAAGGTCAACATGGCAGATAGACTTTAGAGTTTGGGTTAGGGGTAGGGTTAGGGGTAGGGTTTGGGGTAGGGTTTGGGGTAGGGTTTGGGTTAGGGTTAGGGTTTGGGGTAGGGTTAGGGGTAGGGTTAGGGTGACACATAACGGACACGACGGAAGCTTATCGCTCATTACCACATACAGATCCGCAGGTCTCACATCTATGGTCAGTAAGTCGTGCGCCGGAAGACCGCGGTCGCTAATGTGGGTACGGACATTTCGCCATCAATTGGGCACCAGCCGCGCGCTATTGCCGTCATATTTAAGAGATTTCCAGTGGCGCCACTCCCACAAGCATCAGATTGTCGGCCATTATTTGGAACTCCTGCGTCAAAATTTTCACATCTAACCCTAACCCAAACCCTAACCCTAACCCTACACTCTAGGCCACCGAATGATGACAGGTAAGTATGTCATTTGTTTTGTTCCCTCTTTACGCTCCGTATTTGCAATGCAGCCAAGGGAGTGAACTCCCACTAAACGACAGTCGGCTTTCCAGCTAGCGACCGTTATTTAAAGGAGAGCCGTAAATTCTATTACAGTATTCTCTTTGTTGAGCTGGCACTACAGCTTCTTTTCTGGAGAAAATACTCCAGACTTCTCTCAAAATAACCTTGCAGCTATTTAACTTAGACTTGTCTATGAGGTACAAAACTGAGACATCTGGTCTGGTAGTCTCAGTTTCAGCTTCATAGCAAACGGGTCACCCCATCTTTGCTCCGCTCCTGTGCCAACGAAAAACACACAGAATGTTTTTTTCACATAAAGTGTACATCGACTGTTTAGAGTAGATGTTTGCTATTTTTATAGTATTGCATAATCATTTATTTCAGGTATAATTTATGCAAATTATATTCATTGAAACTGAAAGTTAAAGTTCTCAGGGTTTAGTCAGTCGTTGAAATTGAAGCGTTCTGTCTGCTGGTCGTTCAGTGTGAACACATCCGTCACAACGTACCGTATTTAATTAACAATAATAACGTATTAAACATATGCAAACACGGCCAGTCTTCCAAATCATTCACAGACAACTATTTTCACACAACACTAATACATATTTTATTATATAGTACCACAAATTATAAAATAACAATCTGGATACATGGAAATCCACCAGCTGAAAAACAGACGCCTTCACTCGTTCACCATGGCAACAGTCAATAGTTGATCGATAAGTTCAGTATTAAATCAAGAGATCCTCGATTTCCTTAATTAAATGTTCTTTGCTGGTTCTGAAATAACACATCAACATTCTATTTGATTTAAATAAGTAGTTCATAGTTGTAAAACTTCCAGCAAGTGAATTAAAGAAACACTGTTATGAGCACATCACTGTTACGGTATTGTAAAGTTTTGAATCAACTGTCTTGCTACAAATACATAGAAAGCGAAAGGAATTAAAGACGACTATATAAGTAACTCTTCTACTTTCGAGGGGCTGCGTTAGCGCATTCGATAAGAGGCTCGCTTTCAAATCCAGCTGCGACTCGCTGCAGATTACGGTCGGTGTTCGAAACCGGGCGGTTCCCTGGGTTCACCCAGCCTCTAGGAAATTGGTACCAGAGTTGACACTCTGGGGTAAATGGAGGAACGTCGCTGTAGCTACAGAGTTACATGCGAATGGCGACACAGGCGGACAGTTCTTATCAGCTGTCCGTACTGGTGGCAGAGCACTTGTGGTTTATAACTGTGTGCAGTGACGCTGGTTCAAATCACTCGACTTCTACTTTCGTCTGATTATTTGTTTATTAGTAACTGTTTCTTTTTGTAACTGTTTTAAAATTTTACATTCTCTCGTTCGGCTGGGCAAACGGTTAGAGCGCTAGTATCTCAAGCGGAAAACCCAGGGTGGAATCCGTGGTAAGGCTGGGGATTTCTTTTCTATATCGTGACGACAGCACTAGCCATGTGGTCTTAAATCTTCGGGCTCAAAAACCCGGTCTACACCGCAAATTTGGTATATATAATAACGGCAGTCATTGGCAGACTGACATTCGCCCGTTTTGTCCAAGTGGCTATTCTGTATTCGATTAGTAAGGCGCTGTCTCCTAAAGCATATCAACTGCCACGTCGTGTATTAGTTTACAGCTAGACCGCGATATTTGCATTTTGCGCCCAACACATCCGATTTCAACAAGGCCCTAATTTGTTGGCTAGTTACGACATGCTAGTTAAGCTAAGCCTCATTGGGTCTTTTCACACCCCCCCCCCCCCCCCCCCATGGAGGACGGAACTGCCTTGCATCACTGTTAGATCGATTGCTTACGCTGTGTTTAGTACCAATTTACTTGTCAGCATATGTGAAGTTAGAATGAATCCGGCAAGATTAATGTGGTTGATCTGGCAAGAATATTGTAGTTGACCCGCAAGATTATTGTGGTTGATCCTGCAAGATTAATGTTGTCGATCAGGCAAGAATAATATGGTTGATCCAGCAATGGTTGATCTGGCAAGAATAATGTTTTTGATCCGGCAACATTAATGTGGTTGATCTGGCAAGATTAATATGATTGATTCGGCAAGATTAATATGGTTGATCCGGCAAGATTAATGTGGTTGATCCGGCAACATTAATGTGGTTGATCCGGCAACATTAATGTGGTTGATCAGGCAAGATTAATATGATTGATCCGGCAAGATTAATATGGTTGATCCGGCAAGATTAATGTGGTTGATCCGGCAAGATTATTGTGGTTGATCCGGCAATATTAATGTGGTTGATCTGGCAAGATTAATGTGGGTAATCTGGCAAGTACGCAGTGTTAAACTGTTAGTTTGGAATCGTGTCCTTGAGAACCCATGGGAACGGCTCAGGTTGACCAGTGAATGTAAAAGCTGCTCAACGCTGGCGTTTCGAATAAGCACTGCCAACTTGATTAAGGTGTTATAAGTTGTATGTCCGTTGTACATTAAAGATTATGTTTGTACTCAGCAGGTGTGTGTCGTAGGGTAGTGAAGTCTGTTAGCTGGCCTACCCAGCGAGCCATAGTAAGTAAATTAGTAAAGTAGGT